TGATGATTTCTGCCTTTTTCTTCGGTGCTTCTGTTGTCCCTTTTACCAAATATTTCTTCACAACCGATCAAATGTAAGACTCAAAAGATGTTAAACATTGTTCAGATATCTGCTGTTGAAGTTTTATATGGTTGCTTTTACTGCTTTCTTGTCATATCATATTAGCTGACTTGTGTAGTATTAATTCAATTGTGTACAGAGAAAGGATTGTTGCTGATTGGTATTTACTTGTGATCACTTTATCCTTATGAATCATTAGATCTACTTAAAATCTTAACTGGAAAAATTGGTACCGTTGCCTTGTAGAAACTATTGTTTTCCATCTTCATTAGAATGACTACTTTCTCTATGGAAATTCTGTAATAAGGAATTGTGAGAGCATACAAGTTGTCTGTGTGAAATCTGAATGACTTCTTGCATGCAGTTAGCTAAAAGTGGCTAGTCGGACCACATAGGTTTTAATTGAGCAATATGACTAGCTTTGGGTGTTTGAACTAGTATGGCTCATGAATTAGTGAAATTAAGAAACATGTTACTTTGCTCCTTCAGTATGTGTAGTTGTATTTGAAGAATATTCTGATCTTTTGAACAATATCTAACTTCAGAAAGCATTCCATTCTTTCTCTCTAGCCTTGGCTTTTTTGTAGGTGCAGCAATCAGCATTGGAGGTTTCTTGTATCTAGCCATGAAGACAGGGGAAAGGAGCATAATCTACCTCGGGTGCCTGACCCTTGCTTGTTTTCTAATGTTCTCTAGCATTATTGTCAATGATTTGTTCTCTAGCTTTATTGACAGCCACACAGCTCATTTGATGTTAAAGGTAGGCAGTTGTATGTAAACACTGCGATCAAACTCATCCTATAACTAATGACTGACTTGATGAATATTGCTTGTGATAGGTAGCCACTATGCAGACATTGTTCATTGGGTACTTTGTGCTATATAGCCAAGAGATACTGTACGATGCTTGCTTTGGAAATATTAATGCTGTCAATCGCACACTCACCATCTTCTTCCATTTACCAGCTGTAGTGATCCATGCCACAAGACTATGCCTGCGTGTAAAAACTCAGCGACGCCCCACACATAGAATTGTATTGAAAGTTCGCCACAGAATAAATAGAAAGCATGCAGATGGGGAACTGTAAATGATGAAAAAGTGTTCCTTTGTGGCTACATTTTACTGAATATTTCAGGCAAATACTGATTGTTGATTACCTTTACCCCCACAGATGTACTCTGTGATTAAGAAAATTCTTGAATACTAATACTAATTGTTGATTACCTTACACATCATTGTTCTTCCTTTTTTCATTACTTAAATTCAAAATTGAGCATATTGATCTGTTACAGTTTCAAGTTTTATTTTACACTTTTGGTTAGCAAATTATAGAATACTTGGCTCAACATGACACATTCTTTAAAAAAAAGTTTAATTAGAGGTATATTTTACTAAAACTAACATTATTAATGATACTTTCGTACTCTCGGATTGAAATTGATCCATTTACCGAGTTGGAGTGTAAATGTCATCATGATAATCTGTACTCTATAATAAACCAACATTATCAATAATGCTTTAGTTCTCTATAAAAAAAATGTGGTGTATATATGCATACGTCATTTAACAAATAGTGCATATATACCCTCGTCATCTAACAAATAATTTATATTAGCATTTTCTTTAACAAACTGAATTAAAAAATTAATTCTAAAGTTGACTTTTAAAATTCTTAAAATAATTAACCTCACACATTTTTACCCTCTCAACCCGACCCAACTAAAAAAAAACAATCACTCTTTGATTCAAACCTGATCCAAACCCATTTTATAATTGGAAGAAGAGGAATTGAGATTATTTTTTTCTTTTCATTAGAATCGGGTTTAGAAAGGTAAAAAAATAGATGAGGTAATTTGATAAGAATTATATATAAAAATAAGAAAAGTATGGCTTGACAATAAGGATGAAGTCTCGGGTTTGAGCCTTTGAGAATAGAAAAAAGACATAATACATAAATATGTCATTTAATTTAGTTTCGATTGTCATTTATCCCCTCTAACTTTGGATGTGCACAAATAGACTCTTCAACTTGTATAAAATTGAACAAATAGACATATTTGTCTTATGTGACATCTTTCATGGTAATTAAATAGTATGCCATGTAGGATTCCACATAAGAATGAGACTAAAAACAAAGGCTTAAGTCATTTGCGGCCCCTTAAAGTCATTTGATAATTCACTTAGACACCTTAACTAGGGATTGTACCTATTGAGCATCTTTACCGTTCAAAATATGTACCTATTAAATACTTTTTGGTGACATGGCATCATGAATGTATTACACATCTAAGGAAGCACGTGAAGCCATAAACTTTTTTTTTGCGGACCAATAAAAAATGGACATATCAACATTAGAAAAAATTATAATTTGAACATATAAACAAAATTAAAAAATCCCTAGCATCATCTTCCCCAATTGTCTTCCCTGGACTACTCAATCCAATATTCTCATCAAGACAAATTCCTTCGCCACCATCCCTCGATACACCTCTATCTCATCTAATCCTTCATTCTTTCTATTAGGGGTGTACATGATCGGGTTGGTTCGGGTTTTTCAAATATCAAATCAAACCATTTGTGTCGGATTTTTAAATCTATAAACCAAACCAAACCATAAAACTCGGGTTTTTTCGGGTTTTTCTGATTTTCGGGTTTTCTGCTAAAGTATTCATACAAACATATAATTTACTTGTACTTCAAATATTTCTTCAGTCCTACCAAAATACAACTATCTAAGGTGTTTCTTAAGAATACAACACAAACAATGATATGATTAATGACACCAAAATATCCAAAAATACTAATAATAATAATAATGAAATCGCGTAAAACAAATATTGCAAATTAACAAGTCATAAATAAAATAAATATTAAAGGAAATTAAAATTAGATTATGTACTTTAATTGTCTAAACCAATGTAAAACCAAAGAACAAATATTCAATATTATTGTCATTCTTAGTGTTAAATTGATTTTCTTTTTGCATTAGTATTAATTTGATTTTGATTTAAGTTTTATTATAATTACCAACATCTATGAACTATAATCTTTATGGAACCATTCAAAATTCTAAGTTTCAAACTTGAAATAATATATTAAAAGATAAAATCTATGAAAAAGTATAAGAAATATTTTAAAATTATATCAAAGTAAATATTTTTTTGTATAAAATAAAATTTTAAAATTATATATATAATGTCAGGTTGGTTTGGTCTCGGGTTGTTTTTTTTTAGTTAAAACGAAACCAACCCAAATATAGTCGGGTTTTTTTTTTCAACACCAAACCAAGTCAAACCAACCACTAGCCGGGTTTTTTTTCGGTTTGACTCGGTTTGCGGTTTGGTTCGATTTTGTACACCCCTACTTTCTAGCGTCATGCCGCCATTATCGATATAGTCGTCGTTGTTTTCTTCATCGGAAAAGTGTCAGTTAAATACTAATAACTAGTCAAAACACAAAAAAAAACAAAAGAATTTACTGATAAAGATTTTCATTTGAGTTGTAGATGAGAATTTCATCAAAAATAAAATCAAATTGAGTCAAAAACAATTCCGGCAAAACTCCATTTTTTTCGACAAGACTAATGCGAATTTGAAATTATTTTCTTTGAAATCGTTAAAGGAGGGGTAGGTATGTGGTTATCGGGGTGAGGACGATTTCGGAGTGTGGGTGGTTTCAACCGGAGGCGGCTGTGTGTACTAACAAAGAAGAAAATGGGCAAGGATGAACGTCTAGATTAGAGACATGTGTCATATTTAAAGTTTAAAGATCAAGATTATATTATATTAACAAATATCATAACCATAGTTAAGTTAACTAATTTTAGACAATTACTCTCCAAATTTAATAAAATACAATATATTCCATACAAAATTTGATATTTATTAATATCATTAATTTCATCTTATATTTTTAATATACATAAATATTAAAATTGTAGAAAACGAAACATTTATATTTAATGTGATAAATAATAATCTTCAAAAACATTTGCATTTAAAACAATGTTATCTTCTATTTCACAAAAATTAAAAAATTAAAAAAAAAATATTTATTAAAAAAAAACATATATTTTTCCCCTTCAAACACAATATCCACATTTTCTCCTTGGAATATTTTTGGTATTCACGTTTAATTCTAAAAACCTTTCATCTTTTTTTATTTTTTTATTTCGTGTCTTTTATTTTATGGTTTTTTTTCCACACTGATAATCTTAACTTTTTTGTTTTGTTCCTCAACATAGTATATATAATATTTCAAGAGCAAAGTTTAGTTGTACATAAATTGTTTCGATGATTCTCACCTAAAATATCATACAATTTAATAATTAAATACAAAAATATAGTATGATATTAATAAATATCAAATTTTGTTTAGAATATATTGTAATTCTTACCAAATTTGGAGAGTAGTTTTCTAAAATTAATTGCCTTAACTATGATTATGATATTTGTTAATATAATATAATATTGACCTTTAAACTTTAAATATGACACATGTCTTTAATCTAGACGTGCACTTGACGAAATGGAGGGGAGCCGGATCCCACAATTTCTATTTTTAGTTGATTGTCAAACAATGTTCAATAGGTATTTTTTTTTTTACTAATAAAAGTGTTCAATTGGAACAAACGTAAGATAAGGTGTTCAAATAAAATATGCAGACAACTTTAAATGGCTACGGATGACTTAAGCCTTATTTGATACCCTCTGATTCCATAATTCTTACTCCCCCTTTCCGCCAACAACCTGTGTCAGTAGATGGAGATTCTTCTTTTATTTCTTATTTGACGAAAGTATCCCTGCCCTATACCCATAACTGAAATGTAAAACCGTAAATATCCCAAAAAGGGCATTCCGTTGGTAACTAACTCTTCTCTGCAAAACTATAAATAGAACTCACGCTCCTCATTCTTCTTCATCACTTCCAATTACTCTGCAAAAAGAAAAGAAAAAATGAATTTCTTAGTGAATGCTGTGAAATTGTACTTCAATAGGAATTGGACAAGAAAAGACTTGATGAGTTCTGCACCAATTCCCCAGCACGCTCGCACAAGCTTGCAAAAGGTAAACTTCCACTTTTTTTCCTCTTTTCCTTCTATTTGATCACAAATGTTGTAATTTAAGAAATTGCAATCGAGATTTTTCTGTATAGCTGATCAGAAGATGAATTTCGGTTCTCCGAATATTGTTGATGATCGAAGTCGGTGTTTTTTTTACAGTTTCTTGTAGTTCAGTAAGAAATAAGGCAACATTCTGTTTTCAGAGGATGAATTTAGATTCTAACAAGATTTTGAAGAATTAGCATTTCGAATCGAGTTTTCCCTATTCAGTCTTGAAAGTTGTTTTTGACTTGGTTTATATGAGAGTATTCGAGGGGACGGGAAATTAAGATGTTAAATTCACTTAGTATATATTATGATAATGGAAGAAAACATCAAAGTTATAGTTAAAATTTTGAACAGTTTAATGAACTTAATTAATTCTTGAAAGTGTGAAGTTTGCATGGAAATTTTCATTCAAGTATTGATTGGTTTTTGCTGAAACTATAGGTGTATCTTACTCTCCTCTGTGCCATGTCTGCTGCTGCTTGTGGATCTCACTTGCACTTGATCGGGGAAGCAGGGGGGCTGTTCACAGTCCTTTCTTCTGAAGCAAGTTTACTCTGGCTTTACCATACACCACCATGGAGAGTGGTACATGATCAATGACTCATAGATTTTCTTCTAAAGTTGTTTAATTATTCTTCAACTCGCTTCTTATATCGTAAATCTTCTGTCTATGCAGCGAAAGAGGGTTGTGCTCTTGATGTATACTGCATTTTGCGTCGGTGCTTCTGTTGGCCCTTTTACCAAGTACTTCTTCGAAATCGATCAAAGGTAAGACTTGAAAGATGCTAAACATTGTTCAGATATGGTTGTTTTTACTGCTTTCTTGTCATATCATATTACCTTGTCGTTGATTGGTATATATACTTGTGATCACTTTATCTTTGATAATCATTCTATGTTGTGTTCTGTATTATTGCGTGCAGTTAGCTAAAAGTTGTTACTAGGATTACGTAGGTTTGGAGTCTGAACAACCCCGTAGTATTTGAATTCTTTTGCAGTAATGACTCTTGTTCATGATCTGTTAGGCTTCATATTGGAGAATTTGCATAATGCATAGCTTATGAATGAGAAAATTTGAGAATTATGACTAGCATTGAGTTTTAGAATGTTGGTCTAATATTAGCATTTATCTAAATTGATGACTTGTAAGTTGTAACTAAGATTCATAGAATTAGGGGATTGGAATGGAATTACAGCTACCAAATTGTGACTCGGAATTATATTCTTTAGAAACCGGAAACAGTTTTGAACTATATTGGCTTATGAATGAGAGAAGTTGAGCAATATGGCCATCAGACTGCATTAGAACCTTGTAATTTGAGAATATCTGATAATTTGAACAATATCTAACTTCAGAAATCTCTCTCTCCAGCGCTGTCGTTAGATTTTTGAAAGGTGCAGCAATTGTCTTTGGAAGTTTCTTGCTTGCAGCCATGGAAGAAAGGGAAAGGAGCCAAATCTACATCACTGGCCTGATTCACACTTGTAGTCTAATGCATCTGTCATTTGGCATTTCTCAGTGGACGTTAAAGGTAAGAAAGTTGTGTGCATACAATGTGTTCACACGCATCCTATAACACAGATCCCTTGTTCATAAAACAGTAATTTTGCATACAATTTCACTAATTACAATAATTTTGAACATACTTTACTCTAGTTTTGAACTCGCCTCTGTCTAATGAATGCATGAATGATATGACTGACTTGAATAATGCTTATGACAGGCATACGTTCTGCTGTCATTGTTCATGGGGTACCTTGTGGTATATTGCCAAGAGATACTGTACGATGCTCGATTTGGAGAAATTGACTTTGTCAATTGCACATTTACCGTCTTCCTACATTTACCGGCTATAGTGGTCCATGTTGTAAGACTCTGCGTGGGTGCAAACATTGAGCAACGCAGACAGAATTAATGCTGATACACTTGGTGTTGGAAAAAGATTTCCAACAATTGGAACTATAGAAAATATAGAGAGTAGTATACAGATGTGGAACTGTAAATGATGAACAAGTATGTCTTTGTGATGACTACATTTTACTGTAAATTCATAGTCTGAAGCCAAGTGCTTTGAATATTTCTTGGCAAAATTTGAATAGACTATACTACTGCATAATTGTTCTTTCTTTTATCAAGACTGTGATCAGTCCATTGCCTACTAACTCGAAAAGGAGCAGATTGAAATGTTACAGTTTTAAACATGGTCACTTAACACTTTGCACCAAAGTTATTGAACTATTTTTTATATCATAAAATGTATCTCCTTTGTTATTGAAGTTTGAACTACATCACATTTAAATACCTTTAAAGACATTTTAACCAAAAAAAAAAAAAGAATTTGTTCGTACTTTATACCCAAACAAATTAAATGAACAATTACCATCGCATTCAACAATTTTATCAAAGCACGCAATTGTTTATTTATAGAATAAATTTTAGCATTTAAATGTGATTTTCGGCATGAGATACTCATCAACTTTTAAAAAATCAGTTGATCTAATCAGACTCCTAATGATTCTCATGATACTACCAAGCACAATAAATAAATAAAAGAAGTGAAGGAAAACTGTTGTTCACGTTGTAATTTTTTGCCAAAAGACATCACTTAACCAGTTAATGATGTGTGACTTCCATAGTCTTGAGAGGTTTAGATACATAGCATTGCAAGAGTTAGAAGTTGGACGTTCAATTAATATACTTTCAACATATGAACAAATTTAACAGAAACAAGAACTAATGACTGCTAATACAGTAATTCCTCTACCAAAATGCAATGTATAGTAGGCCCTCGCAACCTTCCCATATCCAATGGCCTTCTTGTAAACTGGTTTGCGCATCATGCCACATTCTGCTTGAGTCTGATGCTACTTGTTCGCCTGCTGTTCTATCCCTATAGGAGCAGAATCCTTGATTAATCCTGTATCTCTCGTTCTCGACTTCCCTTCACCCTTGCTAATTCTACTGGACTTTTTTTCTTCAGTATGAATCACCTTCGACTTCTTCTGTTTTCTAAATTTCCTCTCAAAAGCATTGGCATCACTTTCACCCAAGTCATTACCTAAGTAGTCTTGTTCCCTCGATTTTATTTTCTTTACAGAAACTTCCCTTCCGTTATGTGCTTCCACGATTTTGAAAGTTACTTTGGATGAGAGTTTGGTAGAGCAGTTGTGGTATCATCCTCACAACAGTTCATGCCAGGAAGCCAGTCTAACATAGTGCAGAGCCAACTCTGAGGCAGTTGATCGGGTTTTGTACCATACGGGAGAAGCCTCCGCTTCCGATCTCCTTGTATAATGAATGGAGCAACTGATGACTCATCCCCAGAAGTCGTCTGTTCCGGGCATTGTGTTTTATCAGAAGCAGTGTGTAAATCACTACTCTTCGGGGCAGCAGTATTACCAGAACGAAGCTTAATCCTAATCCTAATCCTAATGGGTTTGTGAGAAGAAGAAGGGAGTTTTTGAGATATGTGTGGTTGAATTATAAGTTGATCAATCGCCAAAAACAAACCATAAACACCATATTTTGGCCCCAAATTCTCAGCAGAAACAGCTCCTTCAAAATCTTTGATACAACCGCCCAAAACAGTTTGAATCTTAGAATCAATGTCTATATGAGTGAGAATCATCATATATTTCTCCTTCTTCAATTTCATGTTCTTCCGCCATCGTAATTTCCTAATATTTAATTAATGGAAATTTTTTTTAGAGACCTTCTTTTTGTATTTTTAGTTAACTTCCTTATGTTGATGTTTTTCACATTAAAAAAAAGAAAATGTGATACGTATTCCAAGTGTCCTTTTATGATACTCCATCAATCTGGGACAATTTCATATAAATAATCAGACAATAAAACGATATTATATATATATATATAGTGCATAAAAGTTCTAGCTTTATTGTTTTCTTTAATTTGGTTAAAAGGCTAGCTAGTACGTTCCTTAAATTAGGTCGATAAGAGAACATTTCCTTCTTTAACGAATCTATTTTTTTTTAAGATTTAGATCATTAAATATGTATTTTAGTGGTAATTATAATTTTTTTTGTAAATATTTCTAAAATTTATAGTCACATTAAATTTAATGATAATTAAGTAATACCGATAAAGACTTTTAACACTTTTTTTATATATTTATATTTATATTGTGAGGAATATTCACATATAACCACTCAAAATAATTTAATTATGTTCCATAGCTATAGTTTACTAATTACGATTCGTAGCTTCATGTTAGATGGAGGAGAGAGGCAAGCGAGATTGAGAGAGGGAAGAGAGAAGCGAGCGAGAGAGGGCAGAGAGTGGAGAGAGACGAATTGTATATGTATATATAGCTGTCGAATTGCATATGTATATTTGTCAAATAATTGTATATATGTAACTGGTATACATATGTATTTGTATATCTAGTGAACGAGATTGAGAGAGGGAGGAAAGAGGTGAGTGAGATTGGGAGAGAGAGGAAAAAGGCAAGCATGAGAGGGTAGAGAGTGGAGAGAGACGAAATGTATATGTATAATTGGTATACATATGTACTTGTGTATCTGGCGAGGTAGATTGGGAGAGGGAGGAGAGAGACAAGCTAGAGAGGACACAAAGTGGAGAGAGGGTAATTGTATTTGTATATATGTCATATAAATAAACATGCATATGTATAATTTGTATTTGGTAATTTGTATTTATATATGTATAAAAGAGGAGAGAGGAGAGAGGAGAGATGCGAGATAGAGGAAGAGAGGAGAGAAGCAACGTCATTACTATTAAAATTAAACTACGAACCATTATTAATAAAAACTATAACTATGCTAACTAATTAACAAGCATATGTTACTTACCCACGTTCCCTTTATAATTATTACCGGTAAAAGTTATACTTTTTTTTTGTTAAAATGTCTTTAAAGGTATTTTACAAAAAATATAAATTTAGAGTATATATATATATAGCACAAGGTAAATAGAATAAAGAGATAATTAAAAATTATACTTTAGGAAAAGCATTTTGGAGATTACATAAGATAGTCGTAATACATTTTAGAATTTAAATGTGATTTTCGGCATGAGAAACTTATCAACTTTAAAAAAAACCTCTCGGCAATCCGTGATCACAACAACTTTTTAGCTTAAAAAATAGTTTAATGATTTTAGTTTACATGTGTGGTTTGTCTGTGATATAGGGGTGTGCACTATTCGGATTAAACCGAATAACCAAACCAAACCAAACTGAAATTTTATTTGGATTGGTTTTTTGGTTTTTCGGATTGGTTTTGGATTAATAAATTACTTTGTTTGGTTTTTTGGTTTGGTTTTGGATTTTAAAAGATAAAAACCGAAAAACCGAAAAAAACCGAATTATATATATATATATATATATATATATATATATATATATATATATATATATATATACTGCGTGGAGTCGCGTGGTGTGCAACATAAGTCAAAAGGTGTACAAAATTACAAAAAAAATGAGTTCAAGGGGGGTAATAGGACCTTAATTTAGTTAAGGTGTGTCTCTGGGATTTCGGTCATAGTCTAGGGGGTACTTGTGTCTTCTCCCTTTTATGTTTGAATTACATCTACAATAGGTATACTTATAAGTATTGTGTTTTAAGTTTTACTTATGATTTATAATAGAAAGTATATTTAAGGGATTAAATATTATTACTTTGGTTATATATGTTATTAATTATTGACATAACCGAATAACCAAACCGAAAAAAGCCAAACCGAATAGAGAAAAACCAAACTAAACCAAATTTATTTTGGATCGGATTGGGTTACACTTTTACAAAACCAAAAACCGAAAATCCAAACCAAATAGTGTAAAACCAAACCAAAAAACCGAATGCACACCCCTACTGTGATATATGGGGGAAACAAAAAGAGAGAGAGTTCAAAACAATTCAACAAACTTTTCAAACAACTTGGCATTCCCGGCAACATCAGGATTCTTTTTCTTTGCTTGTTTGACAAATATACCCCTGCAATATTCCTAAATCCCGCCAACAACCTGAGTCCATAGATCATTTTTTTTAATTGCCGAAAGTAGCCCTGCCTTATACCCATAACCATAACCGTAAATATCCCAAAAAGAATAACGACAAGGGGTAGTCGTTGGTAACTAACTCTTCTCTGCAAAACTATAAATAGAACTGACGCTCCTCATTCTTCTTCATCCCCATTTCCAATTTCTCTGCAAAACGAAAAGAAAAGAAAAAATGAATTTCTTAGTGAATGCTGTGAAATTGTACTTCAATAGGAATTGGACAAGACAAGACATGATGAGTTCTGCGCCAATTCCCCAGCACGCTCGCACAAGCTTGCAAATGGTAAATTTCCACTTATTTTTTTCTATATTTGATCACAAATGTTGTAATTTTAATCTAATTTTTTTTTCTGTATTGCAGTCTTGTTACTAATAGCTGATCAGAAGATGATGATATATAATATACCTAATTCTTAAGAATTGATGAATTTCGGTTCTCCGAATATCATTGATAATCATAGTAGGTTTTCTTGGAGATTTGGAGTAACGTGCAGCTTTTCTTTAGCATTTCGAATCAAGTTTTCTATTGAAGCCTTGCTCCCTATTCGGTCTTGAAAGTTGTTTTTGAGTTGAATTTTACACACATCTGACTTGGTTTATATGAGAGTATTTAATGGAAGGGAATAAGATATTAAACATGAAGTTGTAGTTAGAATTTTGAACAGCTTAATGGTGGAAAGCATTGTTAAACTTTCCAAAATGGTATGTATTGATTAGTTTTTGCTGAAACTATAGGTGTTTCTTACTCTGCTCTGTGCCACGTTAGCCGCTGCTTTGGGATCCCACTTGTTCCGGGAAGAGGAAGGGCGGTTCACAGTCATTTATTGTCTAGCAAGTTTCCTCTGGCTTCACTTTACATCACCATGGGGTGTGGTACGTGATCAATGACTTCTCTTCCAAGTTGTTGAATTATTCTTCAAGTTGCTTCTTATATCGTAAATCTTCTGTCTATGCAGTGGAGGAGGCTCTTGTTCTTGATAGTTGGTGCCTTTTGCATCGGTTCTTCTGTTGGCCATATTACGGAGTACTTCTTCGAAATCAATCTAAGGTAAAACTTGAAAGATGCTATACATTGTTCAGATATGGTTGTTTTTACTGCTACCTTTAATTATATACTCTTTAATTCTTTAGTAACCGGAATCAGTTTTGAACTATATTGGCTTATGAATGAGAGAAGTTGAGCAATACCGCCACCAGACTGTGAGGAGGAGCAACTTGTTGTTCTGTGTTCCTTATTTGAACATTAATATCTAACTTCAGAAATCTTTCTCTCCAGCACTGTCGTGAGATTTTTGCAAGGTGTAGCAATTGTCTTTGGATCTTTCTTGTTTGCAGCCATGGTACATAGGGAAAAGAGACAAATCTACTTCAATGGCCTGATCCAAACTTATATTCTAATGCAACTGTCAGGGTTTGATATTCATCAGTGGACGTTAAAGGTAAGAAAGTTATATGCATACAATGTGACTAATTACAATGATTTTGAACTACTTGACTCTAGTCTTATGACTGACTTGAATAATGCTTAATTATGACAGGCATACGTTCTGCTGGCATTCTTCATGGGGTACCTTGTACTATATAGCCAAGAGATATTGTACGATGCTCGATTTGGAGAAATTGACTTTGTCAATGGCACATATGCCGTCTTCCTACATTTACCGGCTATAGTGGTCCATGCTGTAAGACTCCGCCTGGGTGCGAACATTGAGCAACACAGACAGAATTAATGCTGATACACTTGGAACTATACAAATGGGGAACTGTAAATGATGAACAAATATGCCTTTGTGATGACTACATTTTACTGATTGAATAAGGAATTCATAGTCTGAAGCCAAGTGCTTTGTATATTTCTTGGCAAATACTGATACACTTTGTGAATAGAATATACTATACTGCATAATTGTTCTTTCTTTTTTCAAGACAATGATCAGTTTTAAATTGGGGGGTTCTTAACCAAAGTTACTGAAATATTTTTTATATCATAAAATGTATCTCTCCTTTGTTTCCTCCTTGCACTTTCTATTATGTTTAATAAAAAATAACAAGTCATATAAGTTGGTTAACCAAGACTTTCAGGATTTTATTACAAATATCGTATGTAATCTCCAAAATGTTTTTCCTAAAACGAACTATTTGTTACCCAAATATCATAAGTTGTTTTCGTACTTTTTACCCAAACAAACGAACTATTTGTTATCACATTCAAGAGTTTTACCCAAGCACCGCAATTGATTATTTATAAAATTAATTTTTACACCTAAATGTAATTTTTCGGCATGCAATACTTGTTAAGTTTTTTGGCATGCAATACTTGTGTTTGGCATGGAGGAAAATATTTTCTCCAAATGTTTTTTAATTTTTTTTATGTATGAAAAAAGTTGAATCTGTTATTACACGCCTTTCTCTATCAAAGGTTCAGATTTATAATGTATCTAGTTGAAATTGATTCTTAAATTCATGTATAATTACATTTCAACATTATGATACATTACAACTTTATTATGTACAATGTATCGTGTTCAAATAAAGGTGTTTGATATCTTAATTTATTGAAACATATATTAGTATGTATCATGCTCATATTTATGTATTTGATACATAACTATTACAAAATAGTCTAATTGACTATGTATCATTTGTTATTATGCATCTGTAGTCTTTTAAGTTTTGTTCGGTCTTATTCAACTTAGAAGGCTATGTGTATGTACACATTACCAAATCATATTCTTGATTAGAGGTGTCAAAATTGAACCTAATTGTAGGTAGCCCGCCCAACCCGCCAATAATTTTAAGGGTTGGGCTCAGGATAATTTGAATTGGGTTCAATCTCAACTCATTCAAGTCCTAACCCATTTAAGAGAATCCTTAATTGAGCTCAATTTAATCTCTAATTTCAACCCGTTTTAAGACTCTTTATTTACATTGATGTAATGTATGTTCCTATATTAAAGGTATGAATTACTTTCTATTTTATATCTTTTAGGATTTATCTAACAATTTGTAACTTCTTTTTAAAAAATTTCTTTAATTGAATTTCAAATTGTGATTATAAAACTTAAATAACAATATGTTAAAATTATTGAAATAAGCGGGTCAAGACCCAATCCGTTTTTAAGCCCATTGGAGCCCAACCCATTTGAGCCCAAAGTAAACTTGGGCGGGTCAGGACCCAACCCAATTTCTATTTCAACCAATTCTAATATCTCCAATTTCAGCCCAACCCGGCCATTTGACACCCCTATTCTTGATACATAAACCCTATTGTTTTATGACTAAATCATTGGGTATCATATTTATAATTATGTTTATGATACATAACGGAGTCAAATTATCCAATTGACTATGTATCAGATCTTGTTATGTATCTGCAGCCTTTAAGTTTTGTTCCTGTTTGAAATTTTTTTAATCAAACTTGAAAAGTTGTTGGATGATCTGCTTGAATTTTGAATTTTTTGAAGCTCTTACGCTTTTATGAGATTTTAATTTAATTTCCATTTTCCCTCTTTTAGCGTAACAGAAGGAAATGTAATGTATAAGAGTGTGATGTATCGGGACGTTGAGTGATATATCTGAAATTCTTAAATTTTAAGGGATTTTTATAATTTGAGAAGAGTAAAGATATGATGTATTTAATTCTTAACACTATGGAATTTGTGAATTTTTACAATATTTTTTCTGAAAATATTTTTCAATTTTCCTATGTATGATTGGTCAAAATATTTGAAGAATATTTCCGGTAGGAAACTAAATTCATTAAAGTGAGGAAATAAACTTCCCTATTGAATGTAGGGAAAACAAGAGGTATTCCCAGTTTATTGTCTCCTCACACCCACCCAATTCCCCAACCACCACCTCTTGTCCATCACACCCCCGAATTCCCACTTTCCATGTCGTTTCACCTTCATAGTATTTTGCTAGATAATCATATAAATACTCTTGAAATAATATTTTCTTGATTACTTACCAAACACTAAAAAATAAGCAACAAACTCATTTTATTTTTCAAAAAGATATTTTCTAAGAAATTATTTTCCGTGAAAAATATTTTTTCTTTCTTACTAAACACTCTTCCCACTTAAGTTAAGGTGAGTGGCTTTTTAGTTTACAAAATATTTTAAGGATTTCAGTATGTTTTGTCTATGAAAAATAAAAAATGAGAGTTTAAAACAATTCGACACTTCAGCAAATGATGCTGCCTAAAACTTTTCAAACAACTTCTCATTCTCGCTAACGATCTGAACGCGAAGATTCTTTTTCTTTGCTTGTTTGACAAAAATACCCCTGCAATATTCCCAAAACTCGGCCTATAAGTGAAAGGTAGAAGGGTAAATATTTCTTAAAGGGTAGTCATTGGTAACGAACTCTTTTTCAGTATAAACAGAGCACAGCTCTCCTTCTTCACTTTTCTTCATCAGTTTTCCAATTCCGTTTTGTCTCTGCAAAGATGAAAAATGCTGTAAAAGCTTACTTCGAAAGGACTTGGAACAGGGAAGACATGACGAATCCAGATGAAATTCCCCTGCGCGCTCACGAAAGCTTGAAGAGGGTACATTCATCCTTACAACTTCAATTTTTCATTTTCATTAATTTGATAAAAAAAATGTAACAATAGTATAAAATTGTTGATTATATTTCTAGAATTTGTGATTGAGAGATCGAGAAATCGAGATTTATTTGCATATTGCAGACCAGAAGATGATGCTAAATTCTTAAATCTAAAATAGTGATGAATTTCGATTATCAGAAGAATTTTAGGTATTGCCGTAATGATAGTCGATTTGTTTTTGAAAGTTCAGTCAGAAATACGGAAGCATTTTACTTGCTTATCTTAAATCTTCAGGATTGATGAATTTCAGTTCTCAGAAGTTTTTGAAGTAATTTTTACTTTTGCAGTTGTTTAAGACGTTATTGATAATCTGATAGAACAATTATAGGTGCAAATGCAAATACTTTAGCATTTCCTGTGATTGATTAGTTTTTGCTGAAAATATAGGTGTATCTTACTCTCTTCTGTGCCATGTTGACTGCTACTTTTGGATCCATCTTGCACTTGATCTGGGAAGCGGGAGGGCTGTTCACAGTCCTTTCTTCTGTAGCAAGTTTACTCTGTCTTTACTTAACATCGCCATGGAGTGTGGTATGTGATCAACGACTGGTAGATTTTCTTCCAAGTTATTGAATTATTCGTTAGGTCGCTTCTTATATCGTAAATCTTCTGTCTATGCAGAAGAAGAGGGTCTTACTCTTGATGATTGCTGCCTTTTCCTTCGGTGCTTCAATTGGCATTTTTACCAAATATCTCTTTGAAATAGATCAAGAGTAAGTCTTGAAAGATGGCAAACATTGTGCAGATTTCTGTTGTTGATGTTCTGTATGGTTGTTTTTTTTAGCTTTGTCTTGTCAAGTCATATTATTAGAACCTGATTTTTGTATAGAGAGATGCCTTCTGCTGATTGGATACTTTCGATCTTAATGAAAATAATCATTAGAGTTACTCTAAATTCTAAATGCAAAAATTTGAATCTCCTAAATTGATTACTCTCTCTCTCTCTCTCTGTGAAAATTCTGAAATAAGGATTTAGGAGATATCCCTACCTGAGTGTGTTTCACAAGACAAGGACATTGGACTGTATTATTCTTGCGCGCAGTTAGCTAAAAGTGGCAAGAATAACCTGAAGTATCTGACAATTTGTTCAGTAATTACTATTATACATGATCTGCTAGACTTTCATAATGGAAATTTGCATAATGCTTAAGTTATGAATTAGAAAAATTGAGCAATTAGAATGTTGGCCTGTTTTTTCTGTTTTGGCAATTGGAATGTTGGCCTGCTATTAGGTTATAAACTATTGGTTTGTACTTCTAATTTGATCACTTGTAATTAAGATTCCCAGATTACATAGGTCTTTCATGATTTAGAGAACTACAGTTAGCAAAATGTATCTCATAATCATCTGCTTCTTTGTAAACTTGAAACAATTTTAAAGCTTGTGTATTCTGGGTATGAATATTAATATATGTTTTAGTACATAGAGTTTCTAATTTTAAATCATGTTGGCTTATGAATGAGTGAAATTATGAAGAATGCAGTTAGATAAATTTACCCCTGATTCTTGAGGTCTGTTCCAATATGGCAAAGACAATTTATATTGCATTTTGATGATGTCAATAGCAGTTACTTGCTGTTTCAACATGTGTTATTGATTAGCCCTTGTTTTTCTCTATTTTCTCTCTGAAGAATGTTACTAATCATGTGAGGAATATCTAACTTCACAAAGCATTCCATGCTTGTTCTCCAGCATTGTTGTCAGCATTTTGTCAGCTGCAGCAATTGGCTTTGGAACTTTCTGGTTTGGAGCCTTGTTATCAAGGCTAAGGGCCATCCTCTACACCGGTTGCCTTCTTCATTCTCATGCTTTCATGTTGTCGTGGTTGGTCATTACTTCTGACATGATCTTTGTTGGCTACTCAGTTCAATGGACGCTAAAGGTAAGCAGCTATAAACTCTTCTAGCTCCCATGCTAATAAATCATTACTTTCTTCTCGAATTTAAGATGTGTGCATACAACGTGATCACACTCATTCTTAACTTGCTGACTCTAGTTTTGAACACATCTCTATCTAATGAAATGAATGATATGACTGACTTGAATACTGTTTCTGATAGGTGTTTGCTGTGCTGGCAATGTTCATGGGGTACTTTGTGATATATAGCCAAGAGATAGTTTATAATTCCCTCTCTGAAGATGTTAACTTTGTCAACTGCACATTCACCATCTTCTTCAATTTACCCGCTATAGTTGTCCATGTTGCCCGACTAGAGCTGATTGAAGTAACAGAGTTAAAGCTTAACACAGTAAAAGTTACAATCTCGCGTTGGAACTATAGAATGAGTAGAGATTAGAATGCACCGGGGAAACCGTAAGTGATCAAGCAAATATTTCGTTATAACTACATTTCACTGATTGAATTTGGAATTCTTTAGTCTGAAGCCAAGTTCTGTGAATATTTCTTGGCAAATACTGATTGTTGATTGATTACCTTATCCCATAGTAAGAAATTTTGAATAGAATATACGTAATTGTTCTTTCTTTTCCAAAGCAAGGAAATAAGGATATTTGGAATTTAAGATGTTCAATTCATTTCCCTACTTTAACACTAAAAAAAAATTAAGCAAATTGAACTCTTAATAGTTTCAAATTTAGGGGATTCGCTAGAACCATAATTCAAGTTTACTTTAAGTATCACAGAAGTCTCTAATTTTTTTACCAAGAACTCCATCAACTTTGCTTAAGATCTCATTGGTTTGCATTTAAGGAAAGATGAATCTTACTAATCATTCAAAATTCAGTTAATAAGTATTTGAATCGTTAAAAAAGTAGTGTATATATACATGTTTTTCGTTAACAGACTGAATATTTAAAAGAAAATCTAAACCTGATCTTTTAAAGTTTAAAACACCAGGTGGCTTTTAAAAATTACCGCACCTTTTTTTTCCTTTTTACCCTCTAGTCCAATCCAACTAAAAAGAAATAATTTATCTTTTATTTAAACCCGATCCAAACCCATTTTATTATCAGTAGAAGAGGAATTGAGTTTTTTTTCCGTTTTTTTTATACTCCCTCCATTCACTTTTACTTGTCACTGTTTGACTTGACACACTCATTAAAAAAAAAGTTATTGATATAAGTATTTTATCATACTGTCCCTACTAATTAATGCTTAGTATTGGGTCTTAAAAAATGACGTGGAGAATAATATTTATTGCTAAGGGTAAAATATTTTTTTTAAAAATTGTTTTTTCTTGATATCTCAAGAGTAATAAGTAAAAATGAAAATATATTTTAGAAATAAATAACAACGAAAAATGAATGAAGTGAGTAAATTTAATAAGAATTATATATAAAAAAAATAAGAAAAGTGTGCTCGACAATAAAAATGAAAGTTGAGTATATTTCTAATCCCGCCAATAATTCCATTTTCTTTAATTGACGAAATTAGCCCTGCCTTATACCCATATAACTGAAAAGGTAAAACCGTAAATATCCCAAAAAGAATAACGGCAAGGGGTAGTCCGTTGGTAACGAACTCTTCTCTGCAAAATTAACTATAAACAGAGGTGACGCTCGTCATTCTTCTTCATCCCCATTTCCAATTTCTCTGCAAAACGAAAAGAAGAAAAAATGAATTTCTTAGTGAATGCTGTGAAATTGTACTTCAATAGGAATTGGACAAGAAAAGACATGATGAATTCTGCACCAATTACCAAGCACGCTTACACAAGCTTGAAGACGGTACGTTTACACTTTGTAATTTAAGAAATTGTATATCGAGATTTTTTCTTTATTGTAGGCTTGTTACTAGAAGATGATGCTAATTAAATCCCCATTCTTAAGAATTGATGAATTTTTGTTCCCGGAATATTGTTGATAATCATAGTCGGTGTTTTTTCTACTGTTTCTTGTAGTTCAGTAAGAAATAAGGATGAATCACGATTCTCAGAAGATTTTGAAGTTTGACGTTTTAATAGTAAAAAACGATTGGAGATTTGGAGTAACATGCAACTTTTTATTAGCATTTCGAATCGAGTTTTCCCTATTCGGTCTTATTAGTAGTATATATTATGATAATGGAAGAAAACATCAAAGTTATTGTTAAAATTTTGAACAGTTTAATGAACTTAATTCTTGAAAGTGTGAAGTTTGCATAGAAGTTGAATGGTTGTTTAAGTATTGATTAGTTTTTGCTGAAACTATAGGTATATCTTACTCTCTTCTTGGCCATATTGGCCACTGCTTTTGGATCCTACTTGCACTTGATCTGGGAAACAGGGGGGATGTTATCAATCATTAAATGTGGATCAAGTTTACTCTTGCTTTACCGTACACCACAACAGAGAGTGGTACGTGATCAATGACTCGTAGATTTTCTTCCAAGTTGTTGAATTATTCTTCAAGTCGCTTCTTATATTGTAAATCTTCTGTCTATGCAGTTGGCGAGGCTCTTATACTTGATGGATGTTGCCATTTGCTTCGGTGCTTCTGTTGGCCTTTTTACCAAGTATTTCTTCAAAATCGATCAAAGGTAAGACTCGAAAAATAATCATTATATGTACCAATATTTGAGAATTATGACTAGCATTGAGTTTTAGAATGTTGGTTTGATATTAGCATTGAACTAAATTGATGACTTGTAACTAAGATTCATGGATTTAGGGGACTGGAATGGAATTACAACTACCAAATTGTGACTCAAAATTATATTCCCTTTAATTCTTTAGAAACCAGAAACAGTTTTGAACTATATTGGCTTATGAATTAGAGAAGTTGAGCAATACAGACACTAAACTGTGATGAGTACTTTATTAGCACCTTGTTGTTCTATATTTGAACAATATCTAACTTCAGAAATCTCTCTATTCAGCGCTGTCATTAGATTTTTGCTAGGTGCAGCAATTGTCTTTGGATGTTTCTCGATTGCAGCAAAAGTACATAGGGAAAGGAGCCACATCTACATCACTAGCTTGATTAACACTGGTATTCTAATACTACTGTGGTTTGACGTTTCTCAGTGGACGTTAAAGGTGAGAAAGTTGTATGCATACAATGAGTTCAAACGCATCCTCTAACACAGATGTTCCCTTGTTCATAAATCAGTAATTTTGCCTAAAACTTAATATGTATGCATACAATGTGACTAATTACAATGATTTTGAACTACTTGACTCTAGTCCTATGACTGACTTGAATAATGCTTATGACAGGCATACGTTCTGCTGGCAGTCTTCATGGGGTACCTTGTGCTATATAGCCAAGAGATACTGTATGATGCTCCCTTTGGAGAAATTAACTTTGCCAACTGCGCATTCACTATCTTCTTCTGTTTACCAGCTATTGTGGTCCATTCTGTAAGACTATGCCTGGGTGCAAACATTGAGCAACACAGACAGAATTAATGCTGATACATTTGGAACTATATACTCTGTGATGAAGAAAACTTTGAATAGAATATACTATGCGATGACTACATTTTACTGTAAATGATGAACAAATATGTCTATGTGATGACTACATTTTACTGTAAACTCATAGTCTGAAGCCAAGTGCTTTGAATAGAATATACTACTGCATAATTGTTCTTTCTTTTTTCAAGACATGATCAGTCCATTGCCTACTTAACTCGAAAATGAGCAGATTGAAATGTTTCAATTATCTCTCTATTTTGATTACCTCATTTCATTTTTGTAAAATAACACTTCTACTCGTTTTGACAGAACGTACACATTATTACAACATTCAACAGTTTAATCTTAAGCACACAATTGGTTACTTATAAAATCAATATCAACACCTACAATGTGATTTTTTGGCATGCGATCCTTGGTAACTTTTTCTAAATCAGTTAATCCAAACAGACTCTTAATGATTTAAGAAGAGTGACGTTTTAGTTTACAAAATAGTTTAATGAGTTTAGTTCAAAAGAGTACTATTTAACTACTAGCAGGGAGGGTAGTCATTGGTAACAAACATCTCGTTCATCGGTTTTCCGATTCCCTTTTCTCTCTGCAAAGAGAAAAAAAAATGAAATTCTCAAATATGAAAAATGCTGTGAAAGCTTACTTCGAAAGGAATTGGAACAAAGAAGACATGATGGATCCTGATGAAATTCCCCCAACAGCTCACAAAAGCTTGAAGAAGGTATATTTATTGAGTAAATATCTCAAATGTTCACTCAACTAATAGTTCTTTTCACACAGAAAGTCACTTAACTCTCTTTTATAAACTCAAAATTACCCAATTAAGAATTTTTCACACAGAAAGGCACTAAACAATTATTTTTACCAAGAACTTACTCAACTTGCCTAAGATCTCATATTTTTGTATGAAGATTTTTTTTAATCATTCATAACTTAATCATTAAGTATATTTATTTTTTTTCTTTTACAACCACTTACTGGGTTTGTATATCCGAGCATTAAGACTGTATGTTCATATGCTTCATCAGAACATGGCGTAATTAGAGTGTCTAAATAAAATTTACCGGATACGCTCAAAGAGGCTTGCAAGATGTGAGAATTTTTGTTCTTGAAGTTGTTGCGTCTTTGTCTCTGCTCTGTTTTGGATTTTTCATTATTATGATCTTGTTATTGATAATGTGAAATCTCAAATCTTAATTTTGACTCTCAGAGTATTGCCCGATAAATAGTGTTAATTTTGTGTATTTGTTCAAGTTATCGATGAGTTGATTTAGCGTTTGTATTTGACTGATGGGAATTTAAGATATTAGTGGGGCAATCGACATATCGATTCCCGTTTTTTGTCTCTTTTTTTCAAATGTTCATTAGCTTTTGATGATAATACAGATGTCTGTGCCCTGTTGAGCTCTACTGTTGGATCCTCCTTCCATTATATCTGGGACGTCGGGGGCTTGTTCACTGTTCTTATTGCTTCTGGAACTATTATCTTCCTTTTCACTACACCGCCATCAGAAAGAGTACGTGATCACTTTAGAGATTTAAGTTTAAATTGGTGAATTGTTGTTAAATTTGCTTCTTGTAATATCGAATCTTCTAACTCTGCAGAAGAAGAAGGTCTGCTTGTTGATGACTGCTGCCTTTTTTATATGTGACATAAATTCGGCCCCTGATAGTAGGCACTTTTAGCTAACTGCACACAAGAATAATACAGAACACGACAGAAAATGACTATGTTTATGTCTTCATCCAGTCCAATGTCCTCATCTTGTTAAAGATACCGACACACTCAGGTAGGACTTTTCATCATTTACAATTCTACTCTATTTATTCTACAGTTCCAAGTGTATCAGCATTAATTCTCTCTGTGTTGCTCATTTTCTGCAGTCAGGTAAACTCTTGCAGCATGGACCACTATACCCGGTAAATGGAAGAAGACGGCGAGTGTGCAATCGACAAAGTTAATTTCTCCTATGCCAGCATTATACAGTAAATCTTGGCTATATATCACAAAGTACCCCATGAACAATGCTTGCACAGTGTTTACCTACAACAAGAAGTATTCATCAGGTCAGTCATATTATTCATTCATTAGACAGAAGTAATGATTTATTGATGAGTGTGATCACATCCAACTGCTTACCTTAAACACCCAATGAACTGTGTGGATGTCAAGCATATCTATACCATAGACAAAAATACTGGAGCACATTAGAGCAAAAGAAAAATTCAGGCAAGTCATGTAGATTGCTCTCCTTTCCCTCGTATACGTGGATCCATACCAGATAATCCCAATGCTAAATGTTGAACCTTCCAAAAGGTTGACAATAAGGCTGGAGAGTAAGCAAGGAATGTTTTCCGAAGTTAGATAAAGAAGACAGAACAAGCATATGTCTTTTGTCATATTGGAAAAGACTTCAGGAATCAGTGGTAAATTATTTAACTTCACTCTTCATGAGCCATATCAAACTTTAACAGAAGATATCTGAACAATGTATAGCATCTTTTGAGTCTTACGGTGGATAAATTTCGAAGAGATATTTGGTAAAAAGGCCAAAAGAAGCACCCAAGGTACAGGCTGCATACATCAATAGTGAGACCCTCAGCCTCTACATAGACAGAAGATTTACGATATAAGAAGTGACTTCAATAACAATTCAACAACTTGGAAGAAAATCTACAAGACACAGATCACGTACCACTCTCAATGGTGATGCAAAGTAAAGCCAGAGTAAACTTGCTACAGAAGAAAGGACTGTGAACAGCCCTCCCACTTCCCAGATGATCAAGTGCAAGAAGGATCCAAAAGTAAAGCTCAACATGGCACAGAAGAGAGTAAGATACACCTATATTTTCAGTAAACTAATCAATCAAAGGAAAAAAGCGGAATCCAATACTTAGAAACAGAACCTAAAATACATCCTTTCCAGCTAACCAGGTTTTGCAAAAAAAGAAAAGATCAAAAATAAGACGCTGAAACCTGAAATTGCTTGAAACAAATTAATCCGTCTGTCCAAATTTAAATGAAACAAATTCATTTTGGGAAGTTTGAAAGCACGTGGCAATCGTTTCATTTTAACTATTCAAAAAAACAACTTTCAAGCCTAAATAGGGAGCAAGGTTTCAATACCAATCTCTACTTCAGTCGTTTTAACAACTATCACTAACGGCATAATTAAGTAAAAAAATACGGTAATACATGTAAAATATTCAGAAAAATCGAAATTCATCATGAGTCCTGAAGAATTAAGTAAAGCAAGTACAAAAGAAGAGAAAAAATTACGGTAATACATATAAAATATTCAGAAAAATCAAAATTCATCATGAATCATGAATAATCAAGTAAAGCAAGTAGAATGTTGCCTTATTTCTTACTAGAACTACAAGAAACTGTAAAACAAATCGATTCCAAGTAGATGTCCTGATACAGCTATCAGTAACGAGATAACGAAAATAGAAAAATCTCCATTCCTTAATCGCTGGATTACAAGTTTTTCAAATAACAACATTTGAATCAGAACAATAATTATTACATTTGTGATCAAATAGAAAGAAAAAATGAAACAGTAAGAATAAATGTACCGTCGTCAAGCTTGTGTAAGCGTACTCGGAAATTTCTCCAGTATTCATCAGGTCTTCTCTTGCCCAATTCCTGTTGAAGTAAGCTTTCACAGCATTCATCTCTGAGAACTTCAAGTTTTTTTGCTTCAGAGGGAAAACGAAATCAGAAATTTCTCCAGTATTCATCAGGTCTTCTCTTGTCCAATTCCTGTTGAAGTAAGTTTTCACAGCATTCATCTCTGAGAACTTCAAGTTTTTTTGCTTCAGAGAGAAAACGAAATGGGAAATTTGATGAAGAAGAATGAAGAACGTGTGCTGTGTTTATAGTTCGTTATATACCGAAGAATTTGTTACCAAAAATTGCCCTGGCCGTTACTCTGTTTGAGAATATTTACGGCTCTACCATTCAGTTATTGGCTGATATTGTAGGGGTAATTTCGTCAAAGAAGAAAAAGGATACTCCATCCTTTCATATCACTTTGACACATTCCTTAAAAAAGTTTTAATTAGATATAGTTTATTTTGGATCAAATTCCTTTCCCTCCATTTCCTCATGTACACATTTAAATGAGTGACACTTATGAGTTGTTTAATATATTTTTTAAAGGTCAAGATTAGATTAATTTAACAAACATCTTAATTACGATTAAAATATTAATGTGTATAGAGGAAATGGAAAGAAAGTATAATGGAGATAAGCCAAAAATTATATTAGACAAATATCAAATCAAATGAGTAAATGGAAAACCTTCCCACCAACAACTTGCATCTGGACCCCTGTCATATATCCCATATCCCAAAAATGGCATTCCGTTGGTAACTAACTCTTCTCTGCAAAACTAGAAATAGAACTCACGCTCCTCATTCTTCTTCATCACTTCCAATTTCTCTGCAAAACGAAAAGAAAAAAAAATGGATTTCTTAGTGAATGCTGTGAAAGCTTACTTCGATACGAGTTGGTCAAGAAAAGACATGAGTTTAGCACCAATTCCCCAGAACAATCGTACAAGCTTGAACAGGGTAAATTTCCACTTTTTTTCTATATTTGATCACAAATGTTGCAATTGTAATCGAGGCAATGAATACTGTGAGATCTTACTTCAGAAGGAACTGGAGAAGACTACACATGACGAATTCTGAAGAAAGGATTAGTGTTCTGATTAAAATGTTGTAATTTAAGTATTCGTGCTAAATCCTCAATTCTTAAGTATTGATGAATTTCAGTTCTCAGAAAATAATTGCCGATGACCATTCTACTTGATTGAAAAGTATTGCCGTAATATTTGCTGTTCTATTGCACTTGCTTGTGCCGTTAGTGATAATTTGAATCGCGTTTGTTATTGAAGCCTTGCTCCCTATTCAGTCTTGGAAGTTGTTTTTGAATATTTTAAAATTCTTGAAAGCAATTGAATTTGTTTCCGATTTCAGTTTCTTGTGTTTGATCT